TGCTTCTTGACTTCCAAATCATTGGGAAAATAATGTTAAGTTGTGAATAAGGTGTTACTGGCTCTTTGGCGGGGTTCAGGTGGTCTCACTCCACAGTAGAGTTCTTAACACTGACCATGAGCTCCAGGGAAGACATCACAACCACCATTGTTCTCCCACCCAAAAGAATAAATCAGGTAGAAAGAATACCAACACCCAGGGCTATAACACTGAACATGCCATAGCCCTTGTGCACAGTGCCCCCTGGAGTTGTGCAGTGCACAGCCTGCACATTCATACATGGTAGCCCTGCCAAGGGTACTGGCTACAAGAGGTATCACAATCAAATGAGCTGCTCTAAGATACTCTCAGAAGGGGAACTAGTACAAGAACTTGATGAAGTAGAAACAATGGGGATATTGAATTTAAAGCCCCATATTCAAATGCTGGTACTACCATGTCTTCTGGGAAACATGGCCTTGGGCAAGCCTGCTGAGGTCTGGGAGCCTTGGTGTCTCTCCCTACTTCACAGATGCTTGAGTGTCAAATGAGATCATATATGAAGGAAAATTATGCATAAAATCATAAAATTTTATTGTAATAAATAGAAGCTTATAGAAAGAGAGAAATAGGCCCACCTGCCTTGCTCCGGTGACTGGGTTGGGGGAATAGGGCATTTAAAGAGTATATGCTTCATCTTGTTATAGCCCCAGTTTGTGGAGGAGGATGAGTGAAGATCTCTTTTCCTTTACAGTTCTCCCATGAGCAATGGCTCATAAGCAGCAGTCCAGGGAGCAGCTGCCTCATGCCCAGCAAAGCATGGCATCCATAACCCCAAATACTCTATCCTCACCTGTCTTTCCTGACATCCCACCACAGAGTAAAGTCAAGGACACACTGAGCTCATCAACACCTTCAAGAATACTTATTCCTGTATTCTGTTTGGTACAATACAAACTGCATGCCGTAGACTCAGACCCCAAAGATTCTCAGTTGCAAGCCCAGGCAGAGCTAACTGCACATGATGAGCAGAGTGGAGAGAAATCAATATTTGCCCAATGGAAAGGAAAAAAAATCAATTGAGAAGAGGGAAAATGTTATCTCTAAGCCTTTGAAAGCAGTGGCTTAGATGTAGCTATAGCAGCATGTAAAGAAGGAAAATGAGATTTTAAGAAGTAGAGAGTCTTTTTACATTTAAATTCCTAGTTCTAAAGAGCTCAATAGTTCAGAAAGTATTTTTAATTGTGGTGAAATTCATACAACATAAAATTAACCATTTTAAAGTGAACAATTGAGTGGCATTTACTACATTTACAGTGTTGTACAAACACCACCTCTATCCAGTTCCAAAACATCAGGAAGTGTTTGTTAAGTCTGAGAAATTTTTCTTAGATTTTTTGAGCCTTTTGGACTTAACTCCCCAGATTGTATTTGAGTGTTGTATTGTTGCTTTCTGCCTAGCTGATATTATGTGTCTTCAGTGTTTAAGAATAGGCCAATTTAAATGTGTTTCCACATTTGGTAAGGTGGATGGGAGAGAGGTGACTATAGATTTCTACAGACAGGCAAAATCCCATATGTTTATTTTCACATCTCTATTGACAGAATGTTTAAACTATTCAATAAAAAATAGAAAATTATTTCACTCATATGCATTTCTTCTGTCTAGGGTCATAGGCAGATGGATCAATAGTGTAACTCATAAAAATGGACTTCAATGCAAAATTGAATGTAGTCTCTCATCTCTGCACCAAGTTTTTCCCTACAAACTGGCAAAGTTGGTTTAACTAAGCAAAAAGCAAGCTTTTTGAGAATTGGGGTCAGAAGGATGTGGAAAATCTGTTTCTCTTTCAGTGACTGGAATGAATACTCTACTGCCAGTGAACAGAGAAGGATGCCTTCTTGTTCATAGCTGCTGTGGCTGCCCTAAAGTCATTCATGGATACTGCCATGGCTGCAGAGCTAAGGAATAGTCTAATTGGGAAGCAAAACAGTGGAATCCATCTTGCTGCCTAGAGTTTAACTGCTAGCCTCTTGAACTTGGTCTTCCATCTCCACCTCTGCTCTGGTCCATTGACCATATGAGCTGGACTTTGCAACTGAGTTGGACTGCCCCCTTCTGTAAATTGACTCTGGTCCTGGTAAAATATTTGTGTGTTGCCTTATTTGTAAATATTTGTGTGTTATTTTAGAACTGTAACTACACACACACACACACACACACAGACCAAAAATATCTTACTGAAAAATGTGGAAGCAAAATTCACTTTTGCTGTTTGTCAAATAGCAAGATAAGACTGAGGTAGAATCCTGTCTTAGACTCCTAAAATTTAACTGATTCATGATTTATGAGCATTCCACCTAAAGGAAGAATCAATAGTGAGAAGGAAAAGAGTAAGGGAGAACAATCCAATAAGTAACTTGAAGCCTGTAGCACATTATTACTTTTCTGAAGTTCTATATTACCACTTTATATATAGTAGGCACTCAATATATATTTGTTATTTGTATGGGATTAGGATATTTTTTCTTCTTTAGTAATCTTTAAGGAACATTTTGCCTTACTATATTTATTACATAATTACAGTATTTGGTGCCGGGTGCTCAACTGAAAGAAATGATTATTTTTAAATAGCCCTTGATTTTTGAAATGATCCACTGTGTTCCAGGCTCTGCCCCTTCAGTACTTGCTAACCATTCCTCATGAGACCACATTTGCACTGCCCATAGCAATGGCTCTCAAATTGTGAATTCCTTTGGAACCTCATTTTAAAATGCAGTTTCCTTGGAATCTTCACTCACAATGTTCTTTCCATCTGAGAATGGACCTAGCAACCTACATTTTAGCAAGTACCCTGGGTGATCCAGATGTAGATGATCTGTGAAGCATATTTTAGAAAACGATCCATAGATTTGAGTGAACCCTAGTCTCTGGGACCAGCCTTGTTTAGAGCAGAAAGAAGTTGAAGAACCAACAGTACATTGCTGTGCAATCATGATGGTGCTGTCCAGGGACAAGATCTTGTTTCTGTACTCTCTATTTTGTCCTCTTCCCTGCCTCATGCCCAAAACCCAGCTGGTCTTGCCTTGGATTGTAGTAACTAGTCCATGATATTCCAAGACTGAATTGGCTACTAGATGGAGTGTTGTCAATTACTATATCCCATATTTAATGTGCTGTCTGTCTACCTGGTCCTCCACCAATGATCAAACTCCATCTGTATACTTTTTTGAATTCTACCAATGTCTACTGCTTAGACATTCTCTTATTCCCTATTTCGCCCATGTGGGTCTGTTTAATGGCACATCCCAGCATTAAAATCTCATTCTTAGTGGCATACAGCCCCAACTAAGAGTGCTGACTGTCCAGAATTAGGCAAGATAATGGGATAATCACCAGGTTGGTTACCCTAAAAAAGATAATGTTCCTCTGTATGTGTGGTAAAATGAAAGACCATGCCAATTTGTTTAGCATAAGAGATTTTAGAAGAGGGAACCATTAGAGAAGTTTGGGAAACAACTTGAGATACATCATTTTTGTTATATAAACCTGTTATCAAGATTGGCCCAATGTAGATTCAATAGAAGTGCTCTTAATTGGCCTTCAGGCGAATACAGTGGGTTGGGATTAGCACACCCTCTGTAGAACCCTCATATATCATGCTGAAATAATGGATACCAATAATGTGGCATCCCTCCATTCTAGCCCCTTCCAAAGGGACTTTTGCAGCCAAAAAGAACTGCTAGATTAGATCTACTTCCTTTCTGGTCATTGAGGCTAGTACCGAGGAGGCTTGAGCTTGAGGCAGTGAATTCAGGTGCTCACAGTCACCTTAGTAAACCAGTTATATGAGATGGCTTATGTACTAAGGAGAGAGAGAGGACATGGTCCAAACAGAGATATGTTTATACAGTACCTGCTTAAGGAATACGGCTGAAATGAGTATTGCTCACAAAACTGGTACCTTCCCAAATTGTTACTCCACCTATTGAGAGCTGAACTATTTTACTTGACTACAGAGAGAAGCTTCAGAGAAGAGCAAAACAAACTTTAATGACTTCTTTCTGTGTCTTGGTTCATTCATTTAGTCAACAACTGTGTGTTTTAATCCTTTCTATAGCTAGGAATAAACAGCTCTGGCCTCTCCCTCAGAGAGCTTACTAGTGTGTTGTAGAGTTTAGGTCATGAATTTATGTGGACACAGATCTACCAAGGACTTCTCTTACTCTTTCAGCTGCCTGTATCTGATGAAAAGGACACTGTGAATACTGGATAGGCAGGAGAAGTAGTCAGAAGTGCCCCCTAGGGAAACCAAACCGGAAATTCACTTTCCAGTGGATAAACACAGCTTGATGTTTATGCTAAAATGTTAATCAACAAGAGGAAAGAACAAAAGTGCCCCCAGATTGCACGGGAAGTGTCTCATGGATACAATAAAGCAGACAAATTGCTTTGGTAGGCTTATGTAAGAGGTCCTTTGTGTTCCCTCATTTCTACTAGGTAAGATGAAGATTAATTGAAATGCCAAGTGCTATCTAAGCTAATAGTTTTATTAGCTTAAACCGGAAGTTCAGCCACCTGGAGGACTTGCTAAAACATAGATTGCTCAGCTCTGTAACCAGAGTTTATTTTTTAGTAGCTCTGGGATGGGGCTTGAGAATTCACATGTTCCCAGGTGTTGCGGATGCTGCTGGTTCCAAGTCCACGCTGTGAGAACCACTGGCTTAAGCAGACAGTTTCAACAACCTTGAAAGTGTTGCTCCACAAAGCAAATCGGCAGTGGTACTAATTTCTTTTAAAGATGGAGTCTCGCTATGTTGCCCAGGCTGGAGTGCAATGGCACAATCTCGGCTCACTGCAACTTCTGCCTTCCAGATTGAAGCGATTCTCCTGCCTCAGCCTCCCTAGTAGCTGAGATTACTAGTACGCACCCGGCTAGTTTTTGTATTTTTAGTAGAGACAGGGTTTAACCATTTTGGCCAGGCTGATCTCAAACTCCTGACCTCAGGTGATCCTCCCGCCTTGGCCTCCCAAAGTGCTGGGATCACAAGTGTAAGCCACCATGCCCGGCCTACACCACTAAATTTAAGATGTTTAAATACCTGCTGTTTTTCTCACTACAAAATAATATATATGTATACCAAAAAAAGGTTTTTAATTAAAAATAATAAACTTATTTAATGATCTATGTAAATTTGAAACCACCCAAAGATAGCCATTAATAACCTTGCTTTGGCTCTTTCCCTAAGCGGCCTGAGGTAATCTGAAAATGGTTCGCTATTCACTTAACCCGGAGAACCCCACGAAATCATGCAAATCAAGAGGTTCCAATCTTCGTGTTCACTGTAAGAACACTCGTGAAACTGCCCAGGCCATCAAGGGTATGCATATTCGAAAATCCACGAAGTATCTGAAAGATGTCACTTTACAGAAACAGTGCGTACCATTCCGACGTTACAATGGTGGAGTTGGCAGGTGTGCCCAGGCAAGACAAGGTCGGTAGCCCAAAAAGAGTGCTGAATTTTTGCCGCATATGCTTAAAAACGCAGAGAGTAATGCTGAACTTAAGGGTTTAGATGTAGATTCTCTGGTCATCGAGCATATCCAAGTGAACAAAGCACCTAAGATGCGCCGACGGACCTACAGAGCTCGTGGTCGGATTAACCCATACATGAGCTCTCCCTGCCACATTGAGATGATCCTTACTGAAAAGGAACAGATTGTTCCTAAACCAGAAGAGGAGGTTGCCCAGAAGAAAAAGATATCCCAGAAGAAACTGAAGAAACAAAAACTTATGGCACGGGAGTAAATTCAGCATTAAAATAAATGTAATTAAAAGGAAAAAAAAATTACCTTGCTTTGCATTTTTATAAAATGTTTCTTATGTATGTTTGTGTATGCATATATACGTGATATTCTCTCTAACATATGTACATAATATTCTCTCTCTTCTCTATATATATAAATATCAAAATCACTAGAATCATCTTTTATTTTTTTGAGACAGAGTCTCATTCTGTTTACCAGGCTGGAGTGCAGTGGTGCATTCTTGGCTCACTGCAACCTTCTTCTCCCGGGTTCAAGCGATTCTTGGGCCTCAGCCTCCGAAGTAGCTGAGATTACAGTCACATGCCACCACGCCTGGCTAATTTTTGTATTTTTCAGTAGAGACAGGGTTTCATCATGTTGGACAGGCTGGTCTCGAGCTCCCGGCTTCAAGAATCCACCCGCCTCAGCCTCCCAAAGTACTGGGATTACAAGTGAGAGCCATCACACTCAGCCTGGAATCATCTTATGAATACCATTCTATAACTTACACTTTTCATTTAATATGTATTTGTAAACATCTTTCTAAGTCAATATACTTGTATGATACAATTTAGTACATCTTTTGAATGAACATTTAGGTTATTAGGCAATTCTTTCAAAGAAACCAATTCAGCATAAGTATTTTTGGAAGTATTTGCATCCTTAATTATTTCCTAAAGGCAAATTCTCAGAAGAAAAAAATGCAAAGTAAAAAGTTATATGGATTTTTAGGGCTCTAAATACATATTGCCTGATTAGGCTTCTAATGCTAGACCATTTTACACACCCATCAGCACTCTATGGTTATTTTCTCACACCTTGACATAAGGCTGAGTACATATTTGTTCATTGTTTTTCTGTGAGAGGTTTCTTTTGCCAATTTAATAGAGAGAAAATGCTCTCTTGTTTACATTTTGAATTTTTTTTTTTTAGTTACCAATGGGGTTACTAGTAGTATCACATTCAGTGATGTCATACTTCTTTTCATTGTAGGGGTGTGAATCTGAAGCTTAGGATTATGCTATCAATTCTTGACAAAGCACTTATTTGGTTTGAGGCTTTACAGTAATGTTTGACATTTTTAAGGTCTAGCACATCATTTTTCTTTGATATGAACAAACAAATCTCAGAGTAGATCAGCTTTTGTTGTATTATGTAAACTTTGAGAAAGTAAATTGGCTGCAAAAATTCTTTATTTTGAATTGATCTGATGTGATTGTGATATGGAGTCTCATTTCTCAGCCTATGAATAATTTGTTGTAATATAATTGATCTGATTTTACTTAGGAAATCAACTATCCACTGTGACCAAAAGAGAAAACTGATGGAGCAATGTATCTTGTTATCTATTGATTAATATTTATACAGTGACCATGTGATGTGAATACTAAAATGAACTTTCTTGGTGATACACTAAATTGAACTTTCTTGTTGATACACAGGGACTATTAGGTGAAAAATATGGGAATATCCGAATCCCTGGAGAAGTTGAAGCCTCAGAGTTTGAAATGATTTTGGATGCCGCCATAGAGGCAAAGCTGGAGACCAAGTTGCTGGAGGAGTGGTACTGTCGAGATGAGAACTCAGTGCCAGCAGCCTATTACCTCAGACCCAAGGCAGAAATGCTGAAAAGCAATAGAAATGCAGTAAGCTGCTTTTCCCTCCAGCCTATGGATCTGTCCATTACTACATTATTACCGTTTACGTCATCCAGGGGTGGTTCTGCACAGAAAAGACAGAAAGTTACTCTGCCCTAGGCCCCAAGTTTTCTTTCTTTTTTTTTTTTTTTTTTTTTTTTTTTTTTTTGAGACAGAGTCTCGCTCTGTCGCCCAGGCTGGAGTGCAGTGGCCGGATCTCAGCTCACTGCAAGCTCCGCCTCCCGGGTTCCCGCCATTCTCCTGCCTCAGCCTCCCGAGTAGCTGGGACTACAGGCGCCCGCCACCTCGCCCCGCTAGTTTTTTGTATTTTTTTAGCAGAGACGGGGTTTCACCGTGTTAGCCAGCATGGTCTCGATCTCCTGACCTCATGATCTGCCTGTCTCGGCCTCCCAATGTGCTGGGATTACAGGCTTGAGCCACCGCGCCCGGCCCAAGTTTTCCTTTTAAAACTAAATCCACACTGATCCTTAGGGAAACACAAATGAAAGCCACAATGCCAAGTCACTTTACACCTGTTAGGATGGCCATCAAAGAGTCAAAAGATAGTAGGCGTTAGAGAGGATGTGAAGAAAAAGGAATCCTGGTACATTGTTGGTGAGACTGTACATTGGGGCAGCCTCTGTGGGAAACAGTATAGCCGTTCCTCAAAAAATTAAAAATAGGACTACCCACTTCTGGGTATATATCCAAAGGCAATAAAATCACTGTCTTGAAGATATGTCGGTACTCCCAGGTTCATTGCAGAATTGTTCACAATAGCCAAGATATGGAAACAGTCTAAGTGTCTGTCAGCAAATGAAAAGATAAAGACAATGTAGAAGGAAATTAAGGAACATTTATATACACACATACTGTGATATTATTCAGTCTTTTTAAAAGAAAACAATCCTACCATTTACAGCAACATGGATGAACCTGGAGGACATTATGCTAAGTGAATTAAGCCAGGCCCAGAAAGACAAATACCGTATGATCTCACTTATATGTGGAATCTAAAAATGTTGAGTTCATGGTAACAGAGAATAGAAGTGTGTTTACAAAGGTCTGGGATTTAGAGGAAATGGAGAGATGTTGGTCAAAGGGCACAAACTTTCATGGTGACTATAGTTAATTATAAACCTGAAATTGACTGACAGAGTAGATCTCAAGTGTTCTTACCACCCACCAAAACAAAGGTAATTATGTGAGGTGGTGGATTTGTTAGTTAACTTGATTGTGGTAACCATTTCGCAGTATATACATGTATCAAAACATCACATTGTGCACCTTTAAAAATTGAATGAAAAAAAACTAAATCCAAAACTAAGAAACTATAAATTGTCACTCACCTTTCCATTTAGCATCTCTAACTTTCCTTCTAGTCTAATTTTCCTTCTTCCTGAAGTATATCCTTTATAAGTTCCATCAAAGAAGGTTTACTAATGATACTGATTTTTACTTATTAATATTGGTATTATTAAATAATTAATAATTTAATGAAATAATTGGTCATTAATTCTTAATATTAATTGGTTAAATTTCCATTAATGAAGCTCCCTTTGTTTACTTATCTGAAAAGTTACTGTTTTGCCCACTTTTCTATAATGTGTCCATTTATTCTGATTGGTATATGTCATGCTTCCTGTATCTGTGAATTCATATAGTCTCTTAATTCTAGAAAATTCTCAGTCATCATCTCATCAAACAATGCCTCTCCTCTATTCCCTCTGCTCTTTCTTTGTGCTCCTTAATTATGTTTGCCTTCAGCCATCTCAGTCTGTCCTCTACGGCTTCTAATTCTCTTTCACATAATCAATGAAAAGGGATCATTTCACATGATCAGTTAGGTTTACCCCAATATTCCCACCCAGAGAAACAATATTCTTACAGATAATTACTTTGAATAATACATGTGAGGGTGAAGAAGAAAAAAATTAAGAAAATTGATCATGCAAAACTGATCATAATCATATCATAATCACGATCAGTTTCACATAATCAATTTTCTTATCTCTGTGCTGCTTTCCAGAAGATAACTTCAGATTATTTTTCCAGTTCACCAATTTTTTCTTCAGCTGTGTTCACTGTCTGTACATTGAGTTTTCAAGTTTGACAGTTACAGTTTTTAATTTTGTGAAAGGTTCATGTGTGCATTTGTTTTCTGTGGGAGGAAGGCCTTTGTAAAATCTACCTAGCTATGATTTATAGTCTCTTTTTAAATTTTAACTTAGTATTTTTTCTTTAACATTTTAAACAGTCCATTTATATTCATGCATCTTATGGAGAGTGATGGAGTGATTCATGCTTGAGCATGATGGAAACATTGTTATCTACTTTCCAACTTGGCTCCCAAGTTTATGATATGTCCCTTAAAAGCAAATGAGAGAGGAAGAGAGGAAGGGTGAACCTGTTCACTGAGTAGAATATTTAGGGAGACTGCAAAGAAGGTATAGATACCCAACCCTCTGCCAAAGAGAATGTCCTTGATTCAGTCAGCACCCAGGCAGTTCCAAGAGGACAGCTGTGGGTTACCCACATTTCTCCACTTCGGCATCTGTGTATTTGTCATTCTGGTATCCAACATAATACATTTTCTCTGTACAATAGGAAATTAGATCAGAATCCTTGATTTTTCTTCTTCGCCCTCACACGTATTATTCAAAGTAATTATCTGTAACAATATTGTTTCTCTGGGTGGGAATATTGGGGTAAACCCAAACCATTTCCCAGTTAAAGATGCCATGAGTAAATATAGATAGCAAAGAACCTGATACCCCAAGAAACCAGTTTATACCATGATCTAGGGGATTTTCTCATATGTTACTATTTAATTTGCTTTGTTTCTTCATTTATTTTTATGATCCACTAGGAAAATTGAGATTATTCCTAAAACCCCATATGATATTTCTGCATAAATTATTATTGAATAAATGAATGTATTAATAAGATTATCATCAAAACTATGTAAATGTTACTTTATTGGTAGGCATTCCTCCCATTTTATCTCCTAGTGGACCATCAAAACAAATGAAGCTAAAATAAATAAAGACAATTAGATATAATGTAAGAGCACCTCCCCTTTAACTTTCTCTCCCCTTTCAAGGACACCAGAGATTATTTTCTTATGGCATTTGTATCAAAACTCAAATGCGAAAAGCATGGTATATAAGAAAGTCCAATAAACACACCCTATTTGGGTGACACCCTTGTGTAATTTGGTCAAGTTCGCATGCAACATGGAAATAATTTCTAACTTTCAGGGACATCAAGGGGATTAAATTAGACACTGTCTGTAAAGCACCTATCATAGTATTGGCACATAGTGGGCCTTCAAATAATATAAATTTTCTTGTTCTTAAATATTATTTTTTTTTGATGATTGTAAGACTAATTTCTCCCTTTTA